AATAAACATTCTTTACTATGGGTTGTAACACCTTGACACTTATCTACAGGAGGTGAACATAGTAATTCAAAAAGTGAAGTCTGCAAACTATTCTCCTGATCGTATACAGCCCTAACGCTGCTTACTGAAAAATGCTATACCTCGCGAATTTTCTTTTTCATGTTAAACATTCAATTTGCACGGTAAAGTTACAAATTGTTTTTAAACCAGAAGTTTAAATGTTTGTTTTGTTTACCTGGAGGACTTTTTCACAAAGAGTCAACAGCTCGCTCTGAGCAAGGAAAAGGGTAACTCCACCTTTACAATTCACAAGACCCTTTACTGTATCCATTCCCGAACTCACAACAAAGTCCGCCAGCCATCTAAAAAAATAGTATTGTCTATTATTCATAACTTGATGGGGAAATAAATCAAAATAAAACTATCAACAGCAGAAAAATGTATCTGCAGATTTCCGGTACCCCAAAATTTAGGCATTGTTGTCGACACGATGAAGAACACATTAAGTGCTTGTAACCATTTTTTCATTTCCCAGGTACCGTCACTGTAGTGCTTTTGACAAAGAGACCAAAATTTGCTTTTTTAGGCAAGCGTCATGTAGCGATTTATAACACTTTTGTTACAATCGCCGTATGTAGCGAGTGCATCTTGGTGCTAAAAAAGGCAAATACGAGAACGGGAGTGAAGAAGTGCAACAGCAACAACAACAACACAACACAAATGCGGACGTTTCGTTTCTTGAGTGTTGGTTTACATAAAAATAAATAAATTAAATAAATAAAAAATTGAGGCCTGTACGGGATCCGAACAACAAACCTCTGCGATACTAGTGCAGCGCTCTACATATTGAGCTAACAAGCCAACTGGGAGCAGGTCATCAAATTAATTCGACATAAACCCGTAAGATGACAAATCAAACACAACGAATATATGAAATCATTATATCTGAACTGCGGTTATGAAACGTATATGTGCCCGATCCTCGCAGTACAGCACTATTTAAGCAACAGTGAAAATCAGACCTGAAAAAATTCAGGCCTGTACGGGTTTCTGTCGAATTAATTTGATGGCCTGCTCCCAGTTGGCTTGTTCGCTCAGTTGGTAGAGCGCTGCACTAGTATCGCAAAGGTCAGTGGTTCGAATCCCGTACAGGCCTGAATTTTTTCAGGTCTGATTTTCACTATGCCTGAATAGTGCTTTACTGCGAGGATCGTGCACATGTACAAGTCAATCTTCTGTCGCATTAGTGACCAACTTATTGCAATTTCGAACCTTGCGATAAATGATAATGCGGTTGGGTTCAATCGTGGTGTTCCACACAAGTCTGTAACACCTACCTGACTAAATCACTGTGTACGCGAGTTCTGTCAGAAAGCTTCTCCAAATAAAGAGCGTGAGCACCAATCTGAACCGCACATAACTTTAGCGCATTCCCCACACTCGCCTTCAGGATCTTTCTGGGCATTTCCATCTCAAGACTCTCTCTTCTCAATTGTCGACCACCAGTCTCAGCTTTGTACTCCATCATCTTTATGGTGTTGCCCTGTTTGGAACTGAGCGCCTTTGCCAGGCAGTAAGCTACGCGACACTTCGCCGTAACGTCCTCCACGTTGCGCAAGCGTGACATCACTTCAAATGGAATGGTTTCATTTGACGTACCCTCCAGAATTCGTGCACCCAGCATTCCACTAGGCCGAAGGATGTAGGTCATAGCTTTCTCAAGAAGCTCGGAAGAGTCCGACAACGACCGTAACACCACGTCAGCCAGTTTGGCCCAGAGTCTACAGTTTGCGTACTGGAACAGCATCCAAGACGGAAATCTGTCTTTCAACGTGTACTCGTTAACATGCCCAAGGACGTGAAACGCTGTGCAGAGGCCTACGTTCTGGTGCTCTGTGAGACACTTGCTGAGAGCTGCGGGAGCACCTTTGAAGAGATGATGGAATATCACGCGGGTCAAAGATGAAGGCGGCGTAAGTGTGGTCGTGGGTGTGGCCGTGGTTGTGGCAGTGGCTGCACCAATCAGTTGTTGTCCAAGATGTGCTAAGAAATTCAGATCTGTGAGAGTTGGGGAACTGCAAATCAGCTGGTAGGTGAGCCAGCATTCATAATTGTACTCCTCCACCTGTCAAGGGCCAGAAAACAAAACTGAGCATCATCGCATTTTCTTTCTTTTTCATTTCTTCTTGTTTATTTTCTGTTCTTCCTTTCCTTCTTACCAAGTTCTTGGCGACTACCAGGTATGTGAAGTGTCTCAAAGAATAAGACATATTCATGGCAGTCTTAGAAGTATACCTGGGTCAGTACATCGCCCTCTGAATATCACGACTTGTGGGCTGACGTACTTCTGGCGAACAAGGTCTTATTTCTATTCGGTGAATTATGTAGCCACAAGTCTCGCATACAGGAAATCTTGAACCATGTTTGGGTATATGATTCTACTTACCATATACCGAGGTCTGCAACCTCAACCTTTGGCTTCACAGTCCACCTTATCTTTAATTAACAACGCAAAAGCGTGGCAAGTACCCTAAAGCTTAAGCCTACACCTACAATTATACCTTACCATGACAAAATTATGAAATGGAAAATGAATTAAAAGTTCGAACCGTTAGAATAGTCCACCATACAAAAACAACCTCGGATGAATCAAAATAGAATTCTACACGTTACGGATAGACAGCAAACAGAATAAAAGAAACAATGCGAAAAAGAAAACCCATACCTCATGGTGAAGGGATGGTGCTGGAAGTCTCTGCAGCAACAATCCAATTACTCCTATATGGAACCTGAGCGACTGTGCGCTATCCAAGGCATGAAGTCTAATCTCATCAGAGAGTGTACGCTTCATTTTTGCAAGGCACTCCTGGGCCAAATCAGGCTTTCGAGAGAGAAGGTCGAAAAGGAAAGCAAAGGTAGTTATGGACAAAATGGTGTTTTCTGGCCAGACACCATCAAAGTTTGGCTTCTCACTAGGCGCATCCACGTTCATCGGCGATTCTCCATTGATTTTCAGAAGCGGGTCCATCTCCTGTTCAGCCTTGCTCCCAGCTAGATGATCTCCCCTTTTCACATCTCCTGGTAAAGTGTCTACCCCCAAGTGGCATCTAGCAGATACTGGCAATGTGGCAGCATCAAACAGTTTAAGGAGATGACCTTTGTAGAATAGCACAAGCGTGCTGCACAGTGTAACAGTTAAACGCATAGCCTCATCATGTCTTCCGCTGACATTCAAGGCTTCGATCATGGAGCACACTGAGTGGATATCGACAACGTAATGTGGGCCAAATGAGATACAGTGAGGATTTAGAAATGATAATGTCCTACTACCTCTGCACTGCTCCTCGTTATTCTGCCTTTCGCCTACTTCCTGCCAATTCATATGTTGATCCTTCAATTGGCAGGAGACTTGGATAGCCATACAGCTGGTTACAACAGGAAATTGGATCCATTCTCCCCTTAAGACCGTCTGGAAGACATCTGAACCCCAATCGATGGACGCCAATCGGACGGCGACTTGTAAGCCATGCCAAGGACGTAATGGACCATTCATAAATGCTACAGAAACTGAACGCAATAATTTGGTTACAATATATCACAAAACAACAGACCTGCATTACGCCACAACAACAAAATGAGTTGCAAGCTCTAATTTTGCCGACGGATATTGAAACAAAGAAGCCACAAAGAAGTTGTTGACAACTTTTACCATGCTTATAGAGGTGTAAATGTATAACAGGTTCTCAGCCTCCTTTGTGTTGCACACTCAAATGACTTTTGAGAGAACAACAATGCTCGTGACCAAAAAGTACATGTATTCTAGCCTTCTACCACTGTACAAAAATAATGCAGCTTACATGTACAGTAACGGTGATGGATATACAGTGAAACCTGTATTAGGCAGAATCCCACAAGAACCTTGCAACTGTCTGCCTAATGCAAGGTATCTACATGATATTGGGTGCATCCTTGTAAAATTTTTTTTCAAGGTATTCACATTGTCTAATGATGTAGCAATGTGCTCTATTTAGTGAATGAATCAAATTCTCTTAGATAAAGCTACACATTTCAGAACAAAACAAAAAAATCGACATTGTACCTCTTTGATCTAATGTCCTCAGCTGATCAAGCATTCCCTCTCGTTTTTTAGGAGGGACACCAGGTCTAAGTACAGCTAACCGCCACAGTCGTGAAACCTCATCACTCAGCGTGGAGCATCTTAGAAAACAAGTTGAACGGAGTACCGATGTCACACTTAGTGATTATGCAGAGTGATATTTGTCATGCAGTAATGAGCCAGACTGCTAAAGTGATCACAATGATTCCCCATATTTTACAAGTTAATCAAAAAATCTTATTTAACCCATTCACTCCCAAAATCTGATTGTGAATCCTGCCCTACAGCTGCTACACATTTCCTTGTAAACCAGTCAGGAGAATATGGTGTTAGACCAAGATTACTTCTGCCTGTACAGCTGTGCTGATAAGTTTGATTATTCTCATTACCTGTTTGCTGGGTAATGTTAAGGACAAAAGTTATAATTATAGAAAGAAGTGACATGTTAATCACCACTGAGAATTAAAGGATTAATTACATCCATTTTGAAATCACTGGTGGTCCCTGTAATCTGATTGGCTCTAATTAGTGTGATTTATTCATGAAACGCACCATTTTTTGCTCTGAATCACATCATTTTACGCTTGACTGAGTTTTTGACATATGACGTCAAAGTCTTTCTGTTTTGCAAACAAAATAAGATGTAAAAGCCTTTCTGGTTCTGCTTTTTATTTAAAAACTGGCTCAGTTCTGCATCAATAAAATATTTGAATTGACCAAGTCCTGTATTTAGGCAATTTCAAAATGGATCTAATAAAGTGGTAATTGAACCTCATGTCGTGCAATTTTGGTCTAAAATCACACTTGTGATTTCAAATCAAACTCACGCTGCGTGCTCGTTCGATTTTGAAATCACGTGTATGATTTCAGCCCAAATTGCACTCCACTCAGTTCAATTACCATTATTAATCCCTTGAATTTAAGAGTGACTAGCATTTAGTTTCTTCTTTCAGAATACTGCTGAATCATTCATTAAAATCATGAAAATGAAGGAATGATTGCAGTTCAAAGAAGCTTAGATTGTTAAATGAAATTCTTAATGGAACTGTATTGAGAAGAATACAGAGAAAATTGATTCTGATGTCAGAGTGTGAGGGATTAAAATTAGAGGTTTGAGTTCTTTATTGCAAATAGAAATTTCACTCTAGTGCAGCCTGCTCCCCGGATAAACAGACAGAAGCAAGAGGTCTAATAAACGGTGATAGACCACAGTAACAAGCTCTTATTGAAAACTCCTGCTTAAACTCTTACCTTGATATTCTTGGTGTGAAGCCCCCAGCCAATGATCCAAAAAAAGTCCCAGTGTTTCCTTTTGGTTGCTGTTTCACACCATGCCTCCTTATAAATCGATCAGAAGGAGATTCTACATGGCAGATCTTGTTCAATCTCTCTGTTAACTGCTCGGTGCACATGGTCAAAGCTGACACAGCACTCATAAAATCATCCTCAAGCAGATCAGCAACTGTTTCCAGGACTTTAAGAACATTGAAGCGATGGGGAGAGGAGAAAGTGCAATAGTCGTTGAGTTGTTGGTCCATTTCATCTAAAGTGGATGGAAAAAGGGTAAGTTTCTAAAACTGTGGTGCTGCATTGGTGGGGGTAACAAGGTAATTTGGGGATATCAACTAAGTTGAAATTGTAAATTGGCCACTATAAAGAGTTAAAAAGGTGATGTTTCAAGCGTTAGCCCTTCATCAGAGCAAATCACAAAGGGCTAATGTTAAAAAAAGTCACCTTTTCAACTCTTTACAGGGGCTAGTTTACAATTTCAACTTAGTTGATATAACCAAATTACCCTAAAGTGGATGAAAGTTGACAAAAATAGTGACAAGCACATTAGTTGAGTTGTGAATGGTGATGGTTATGTTTACAAGGTACAACTTAAGGATCTATAAGTCAGGAAAGGTTTTCTCACTTTTTCTGAATGCAAAAAAAAAAATCTGCAAATCATGATTTCCTTTAAGACCAAACACTCAACAAGCATGAGTTCCACTTCAAAAAATATTTAATTTTAGCTGTTAACTGTGGGGTCTCCACACACAAGCATTGTACTGTATTGTACCTTGAACAAGTGCTTGTTGAAAGCAATTCTTTGTCCATAACTCAGTTACTGAACTCCCTCTGTCATTATCCCTATCATTGTAGGATACAAATCCTAGATCTGCTTGAGACTCATACATCAAGCTATCGCAGCGAGACTGAAATCCACTCTTGGACACAAACCAGTGAGCTTCTTCATCTAGACCTGAAAAAAATTTATATAAAAAATTTAATGCCTTTCTACAAATTTTGGTTTTCTTTATAAACCTTACTATTTATGTGTATGTATACATACAGGAACGTTCTAGAAAGCACATCAAACCAGGTACTGTATTATGTACGTGTATATTTTTAAATGCACCCCATACGTTCAATTCTTGAAAGTTTGAATCAGTCATACAGGAATAGCTAAAGTTGAAAAGGCCAAAACAGTATACAGGGAATGAATTTCACAGACTCCATAGAACATCCAATAGTGAAAGACTGTTGGTAATTGAAAGTTAAGGGTTCCTCTAACTACCTGTACAATGGTCTTAATTGAACTGTATGATGTTTAGAGGGAGATCTGGGAATTTGTGTTAGGGGGAGGGAGGGGGTCCACAAATTGATCAGGAAGCCTTATAAATTCTTTTGGGGGGTCCAAACAAGTCAATGGATATAGTTGAGAAGCCATAACCAATTCTGTCATCAAGCTTGGACACAAGTATGATAAGAAGGGGAGGGTCTGAACTTGCCTGGATCTGCCACTCAAGTGTCTACAGCTATAACATTCATTTTACATTTTACTTATAAATTATTATACATTACCTGGTCCAGCAGTTGGATCAGGTGCCCCAGGTATTTTATTAATGTCATCTTGCTGATCCTGTTGTTGCCGAGACAGAAGTCTGTTAAGCAGTTGCTGGGCTGTTTCTACAACACGTTCATGTTGGTGTTCACTTAGCAGGTACTGTGCAAACTTCAACAACTGTTCTCTGTCCAACAAATCGAGTGAGTCTGAGACTGGCATGTGAATAGCTATTGTGTCTTTCTTCTTGATTCTTGCCAAACATGTTGCAACCACATGGACACACCAGTTTGTGGACAACTCACAAGAACAGTGAGCAGAGGTAATCTTGCCACGGTCAAAGTGAATAGTAACATAGCTCGTATTGTTATTATTACCTCTGCAACGATATTGTCTTCGTTCACCAACAGATGCACTTAGACGAAAGCCTATGACAATTAAAAGTTGATTGAATCACTTTGTAAATGACATACAGTAATAGTTTACTTGTGGAGGCGCGGTGGCCTCATGGTCAGTGCACTTGACTCCAGATTGAGTGGTCCGGGTTCGAGTCCTGGCCGGGACATTGTGTTGTGTTCTTAGGCAAGACACTTTACTCTCACAGTGCCTCTCTTCACCCAGGTGTATAAATGGGTACCGGCAATTTAATGCTGGGGGTAACCCTGCGATGGACTGGCATCCCATCCAGGGGGGAGTAGAAATATTCCTAGTCGCTTCATGCTACAGAAACCGGAGTTAAGCACCGGCCTAATGGGCCACTAGGCTCATAAACAGACTTTACTTTACAATAGTTTACCTAGCGAAGAAAAAAAACACAAGACAATTTGCTATCCCTATGTTTAAACCCTTTATTAGTCCCTTGATTTCAGTAGTAATTCTCCTTAGCCCTTTAACTCCCAGAAGTGATTAATGATTAACCCGTAACTTCTTCCTATAATATCCATACATATCCAGTTAACAGGTAAGGAGAATACTCAAACTTGTCAGGTAGAAGTTGTTACCCTGATTGAACACCAAATTCTCGTAACCAATTTATAAGGAAATGTGTAGTGGCTAGAAGGGAGAATTCATAAGTAGATCTTGGGAGTTAAAGGGTTAATGTCTGCCATTCAATTCTTATCATGTTAGTGCAGAGAATTTAGCATTGGTTAAACTTATAATCCCCCAATTGATTTTTCTCTTTATTCTCATTACTTTTTGGCTTGATATTGTATTGATATTGTAAGGAGAAATTCTGTCTTGGTCACTCGTGAGAGTTGAAGGATGAAGGGGTCTTCTTACAGAGAAGTTGGCAAAGTGTTCGTTCATTAAGACCAGAATGTACATCTTATAAATGTATGTGAATTTTACAGAAAGGCGGCATGATTCATGAATAGCCCATTTCTGAATTACCCTTGGCCTCATTTTCAATACAAGTCCTGGTGCCCATCCTTTCATATGATAATAAGTTTTCATTCACATGTAAATTAAACTCATTTTCACAAGAGTGGTTGAGCACCAGGCCTCGATTTGAAAAAGAAGCCAAGGGTAATTTGGAAATGAACCAGAATGATGTGTGATTTGCCTCCTGAAGTATACTCGACCCATGAACTTTTTCTTTCATTTTGTGAAAATGTCAAGACTTCCCTGAAAACTTGCACGCATGAAGAGTCTAAGTTTTTAAAAAGTTTTCCCCTTTTAAACTTAGGCCGCATATAATTATGTTTAAAGCATATGTGAAGTGCGAATTTTTCTACAATTTGTGCCTGAAACGGGATCAATCCTAACTAACTGAAGACTATTAGGCCTAAATAGGCTTCAGGATAGGAATCTTATGGGAAAGGAAAGCTTCTTGATGGGTGGTGGCTCAATAAAAACTTACAACATGTCAAAATGTGGATCATTGAATTTCTGTTCCAAATGAACCACCCCCAGTTGATGAGTGAGATATCAACCATGCATTTCTTTTGTTGAAAGAACCATATCTATGATATATACTAATACAAGAGGGGTTTTGTTTGAAGAGGCGGGGGAGCTCATTAGAAAAAGGGGGCTTTGTTGTAAAGTTCACACACACAATAGGGTATGGTATCAATGGCCGGTGGACGTGATGTATACATAATACCTACTAGTAAACATTTCACCTACCTATCTGATTCAAATCTTTCACGATTCCATTCGCGACCAGCCTTCTTGCCGCGACGAAGTCAACACTGGTGCGGCTAAACTCGGCATACTTCCGTATCATCTCCTCGTCTTCGGGGAATGAAAACTGGATGATTTTCAGCTGAAGCTGGTCCGGAATCGGGGGCGATCGATGCTCGATGAAAGCGAACGGAAATCTCCGTGAAATAAAGCGACAACACAAGTCTTGCAGAGGAGAAACTTGGTAACTCGACGTGGAGGCTTCAGTTTCTGTGATATCCTCTGCGTCATCGCTTTTTGACCTTATCCGTCGAGAAATAACATCGGAATAATCTTCGCCGCTACTGTAATAATAATCGTCTTCAAAGGTGTAATGATCATCGCTGTCGTCGTCCATATCATCATTTGAACCGAAGTAGTAAGGTATGGAATAATAATCGTCATCATCCGACCACATTGCCGTCTATGTGAGACTCTATCGACAAATCATATATAACCACTGCAGGAATTTCCAAGAATCGCCGACCCAGCTGAATTTCCTCGAAACTTCTCAGCCAAGAAGAGGGTCACGTGTCCAAATAACACGCTCTGGAGTTTCTGCTCGACAATTTACATTGATTAGTCTACCAGGAAAGGTTGCGTTATTCTTGAGAAGGTATGGTTGTCTTTGTAAGAACAAGTAGAAACTATTATCTACAACATGTACAGTACAATCACGAATGTTTAGGGGTCAGTTCGGGTCAGTTAGTACGAGATTCTCGGTAAAGACGCAGCGGTTTCCTCTCCTGACTAACAACCACGTTATGTGCGATGTAGATGTCATCCCCAGGCTCTTCTATGAGCTCAAAGTTGTGTCTTTCGTGACCTTTGTCCTCAACGCCGTGTCCCCCAGTGCTTAACAGCAGGCTAAGGCACATCAAGGCACATACAATCGAGAAATCTTGGGACTAATAAGTACTTGAAGAAGTCAGTAAAATCTCTGTTCGAAGCACTAAAAAACGTCTTTTGTCTATCCGAGGTTTTTGTCTTTTTTTTTTTTTTTATTCGTTTATAGAAAAATCCTGGTGGAAGAGCATGATGTAATCTTCTTCGAGACTCCCTCCCTCCTCCTTCCTTCTCCCCCCGCCCCTGGTCCCCGCTTCAGTCGGTATGCCCATTTGCCAAGTTTGGAGTTTCTTCTCGTACTTTATTTGCACTGATTAAAATCTTTGATTAATTGCAGCTGTTAATTTGGTTTTGTATCTGAACAGATGAAAAGGAAATAAAATAAGAAAGTATACATTATGGAGTTTTGATGGAAAGTACCTTGAACGATAAAGCCCTTACACATATTTTATTCATAATATGTCTAATATGAAATTCCGGTACAGAATATCAATAACTTCAGAACATCAGTTAAAAATCAATAAATAGTGTAGGTTTGACTATATTTTTATTTCGGATATAATGGAAAAGTACATTCCTTTCAGAAAGTTTTAAAGCACTCACAGTAATATCTTTATTACCTGTTTTGTTTTCAGTTGTATGTAGATAAAAATATATATATATTTTTTATTAGATTTGAGAAATCTCAATTTATTTACCCCAATAAATCATAGACCACTAAAAAAGAGGATGTTTTTATATTGTGCATTTCTTGGTATGTCGCTTTGTGAACGCGTACGGCGCAGGTTTTCCCGCCATTCTTGTTTCTCTTTGTGCTGGTCATGGCATGCTTTCATGTCCAAAAACATTACGCTGTTCCGCTCAATGGCTGTTTTCTTCTTCGTTAGTTGTAGAACTCGCCATGTCACCTGGCTGTAAAAAAAGCTTTATTTTCTTATTAAGTTTAACTAAGATTCTTCTCAGAAATTTTAATGAATGCATGATTACTTACTACATTGGGAACATTATACTGTAGTCTTGTCAGACCACTGCTCGAGTATTCATGTGAGCTCGAGACCTGGAATCCTCATACACAACGTATTGTTAATAAAATAGAGGCAATACAGAGGAGGGCAACTAAGTTTATTCTTAAGGAAATTGAAATTAAAAAGTTTATTTCATTGAAGATACATCAGGGATGTTGTTTTTTTTTATTCAATTTAATGAAAGGGAATCATGATATGGATATTTCTGATAAGTTGTTGTTCTGTAAAGATCGTAGTGTGGATTATGATTTAAGGAAGAATGATTCTCTTGACCTGGTCAGCATGTATAGTAGAAAAAATATTTTTAAATATAGCTTTTTAATCCGTATTATTAATGAATGGAATAGTCTTCCTAATAATTTAAAGGATTCTGTCCGTATTTCTAGCCTTAAATATAAAGTCACTTCATTTTTTGGTAATACTTAGAATTTCAGATTTAATTCAATTTAATATTTTCATATTAAATTTTATACTCTGATAATTTTTTCTTAATACCATAGATATATTTTGTTAGCTTAATGAGGAGCACCCCTCGTATGGTGTCTAGGACGCTTTTGGATGCTGCCTCTCCCGGCATAATCATCATCATTATTATTATTTATTTATTTATTTGTTATTTATAATTATTTATTTATTTGTTATTTATTATTATTTATTTATTTAGTAATTTAGATTCGGAGAAACTATAATAAATAAAAAAATGAAATAAAATACTCAGTGGTTTAAACTTTGTACTTATTGCCGAGATTAAAGTCTTTTTGCTATGGACCTTAATTTTTTATTTTTTTTTTTCTAGCCCAGAAAAAGTACATGGCTGTGCAGTGCGGGTCGTGTACCGTCTTTCGACGAACTCGAAGGAATAAAAGTAAAAAGTGGACCAAAGCTTCTCGCTGGTATTCTGAGGTTCCCCCGATCTTGATTTCCCAAAAAGATTTCAAACCTAGCCATTACACTAGTAAAAAGAAGCAGCTGATTGCTGATGTTACCATCCAGCCATCCAAGATTCTTGCTAACCCTAACCCCAATTAATAACACGTGTCTTGAGGAAGGCATTTTCTAACCCGCAGGGAAGGAGCGCTATTATCATAGAGACGCGGGCGAACATAAATAGAAGTTCGGCTAAATCGCTTAAGCCGCACTCAACCTCATTTTGTCGCTTTTAAAATAGCAATAATCAACAACTATTAATTGTCTTCCTTCACACGAGTGCAATCAAACATAACCAGGGGGCTGTAATGAAACTAGCATTTAATACCAACGGCTTGCAATTCGACCTAAAACAAATAATAATTTTTATCATATTACTCACATCCGTTCTCTTAAGGATTTCATCCGCTTTACCAGTGCTCTTTTAAGTTCAATCTCTAAACGTTTGATTTCATCCATCAATATTTGCCTATCTCTTGCAGCTTTATCATGGCGCTCTTTAACTTCTATCCATATCTGGATTTTTCTTTCATGTATAGAGTCAAATTCCTCCAAAGTATCCCTAGGGTGGCAAAAATTTGAAATCAAAATCATGTGACCAAACATTCACTGCCTGTTTGCTGGCTTCTTTGTTTCCGTTTATCTGAATACCAATTTCTTGGAATGCGCAGTATCTTAGTCAAAAGGTTTGCGCGTACATCTAAAAAATCCTTGGTTTTATAATAATTTAAGGAAAATACACAGATGGTTGATTATAAAATCATCTCTTTCGACTATTTCGATATTTACTAACCAGTCTTGCAACAATTCCTCTTCATATTTATTTATGGTCTTGATTCTTTTACAAAGCTCGTGTTCTAAATCACCTTTCCTGTGAAGACAAAGTATATCAGAGATTCTGCAGGAATTTACATTTAAAGGTAGTCTCTTATATGAATCATCATTTTAACAGACCTTTTCCTTCCTCCGCTATTTAAATTTTTCCTTGAAAGGAGAGTTCTCACACGATGCCACTTCATGGTAAAGCCGGTTGGCAAGGAAAACATCCGTGCACGACGAAACAAATAAATTGTTACGCATTTAGCCGTACCAACAGAAAACGCGCGCGCACTATGCTTGATAAAACACCGTAAAAGTTTCGTGCTCTAGACTTTCCCGTTGAACAAGTTATCGATATCCCTCAGTATCATATAATCACACCTCTCGTTGATACATGTCATATCCAATTTGATTGCTACTTCTTGTCCGCATAAAAATTTGTCCAAAACTACATAAATCTCGTTTTATTTACTGGCAGGATGACCTATCCTTCCTAAGTTTTGTCAAATGGAAAGTATTCTTAAAAATAAGACCCTAAACATGGATATACAATAACAAAGAGTTCCCATGATCTCTGAGCAAGACGACAGTCATATTTGTTGGAAGCACGAGTAAGTGCAAATTTACTGTAATTCCTTCAATTTCAAAAACATTTACCGGTGTTTATTTACCAAGCACAATTATTGAGTAACGAAAAACCATATTTGATAGTATTCATCCTAAATTTGTCCCCTCAAGTTCGAACCTCTTTCACTTAAACGACATTGAAGGCTTTCTGTAGTCTTTGTGTTATTGAAGCAGAGTTTAGGTCAACTTTTGTTTCCTAATTTTGATTTATTTTGTTATGTTTTTAGCTTTCCCTTTCTCTATTTATTTGAATTTTTAGTTCAAGAAAGTTTCTTGGTATTACTTTCTGCGTTGCTTGTTTGCGCAACTAGTTGTTCCTAGGTGTCTTCCGGATTGAATTAAGGTGGTAAGTTTCTATAGAAACTGTGGTGCTACGTTGAAGAGGTG